ATTATTTTTTTTTTATATTAAAATGATGTAATCTGTTTTGGTATTTTTTTTTATACAACTTAGAACGGCAAACAAGCTGACGGTCCACATGAGCAGTACCATGGACATAACAGAATATACTGTTACGCCTATGATACCCCCCATGTATTGCCATTCCTGAGGACTCAGATGTTATTCCTCTGTACCCAGTAAATTCACGCCGTATCCCACCCTTCAAACCGAAACACAGTCATGCAAACACAACTGCTTCACGGTAGAAACACGAATGGGACAGAGGTACCCAAGCAATCGACTTTTGTACAAAATCTCCCTCTGGTATATATATATATATTTACTTATAATGTGATCAAGACGAAAGTCGGTTTTATTTAAACCTTTAATTATTAATAGATAAACTTAGTAAATGGTATGTATTTTATATTTTTGTGCAATATTTATAGCTTATGTATTTTATGCGTGTAAAAATTATTCATTCACTTTTGGGTCACTACCCACTATGTGTTCTCCTTTAATCAAAGGTTATTTTTAAGAGATTGCCCTAGCAGTAAGACCGCCTTTATGTTTATATTTGGATCTGTATATTATCTTACTGTATTTTAATTGAATTTTCTGATTGTCATTGTATATTTTAATTTATTATTATTATTGTTGAAAGACGGACTTTTTCAGGCAGAATAACCTGTGACACTTCGACCTTTTCATGCTCTTTTGTACTCGCCTTCTTTTATATATTAAGTGAAATACATACATACATACATATCTGTCACGCCTGTCTCCCATTAGGGTAGGCAGAAACAATGGAACGCCAAATGCTTCGATTCAAACAAACCTCTTTCGCTTCTTCCACATTCATCAATCTTTTCATACACGCTCGCCGGTTACGGGTACTTTTAATTTGGCCCTTCTTTAGCACGTCGCCTATTTAGTCGACATACATACGTCCGTCTAGGGCGGCCCTAAAATACCTATTATTAAGTGAAATAAAGAGTTAAATAATAAAGTAAATAAGCCCCCTAAAGTCTAACCATACGTCCGGATCGACCACCTAATCCACGTGGGGGGCGGACACGTGATTTTTATATAACTGGCACGGCTAACATGGCAAAGGTAACCCATTTAATATCGGAATACTATTTTTTTTTTCAATTCGACAACTCTGCTTAGTAGTGAGAGAGACAAATAATAAGCCACTAAGTCCCGACTTTGTTTCGTGTAGGTACGTTATCTGTATCGCTTCCTGTTTGTGTTTTTGTCGGCGCCAGGTGTCGGTCTGTATGTCCTACCTGGCCCGGTAATTGATACTCAGCTGATCGACTTTTGATGGTGTGGTCAAGTTTTTATACTTTTTTGTGGCCAGTCGCATATTAAATTAATATTTTTTAAGTCGATAATGGACTTTACTTTCCTATTACACGTGAGTACTTTCAGGAGATGTAAACATTCTTCTTCCTGACTAATACAAAAAATTTGATAAAGGTTTGTTTGTATGTATGTTGTCATTTCTTTGTATAATAAATCAATCTGACAATATTCTTGAAATTTTTAAATAGCTCATATGTCTCTAAAAATTATATATAATAGTATACTATTATATATAGAAGGCGTTCTTCTATATATAGAAGATTTCTTTTATATATAGAAGAGTTCTTCTATATATGAAAATAACGCCTTCTATATATAGAAGGCGTTATTATTATAAGGCACTATTATATACTATTACTATTACTATTACTTATTACTATTACTAATATTATATATAAGGCACAATTTGGAACAGAAAATAATAAGTATTTTTTTTAATGGGTGAAAATGTAATTGTTACTCCGCCTGCGCTATCGGTATACGCTGGCGGGGCACCAGTGAAGGATGATAGGTGAGGATGAAGCAGGTCAGTTAATACACTGTAATGAAGTCTACAAGAATTAACCACGATTAAATTAGATTCGCATGGAAGGGTAACCTGCTAAATCTTTTTATTACAATCTCTTTCTTTCCCTTTCCCACTAATAAAATAAGTATTTAATAAAAAATAACCGGATGAAACGAATAAAGTCACGGGTTAAAACTAATTCTTCTCTTAGTTTCTTTCGCTGAAAACACATTTAGAATGAAGTTCGATTATTAGATAGATAGATAGATAGATACTCTTTATTGTTTCCTCCAAAATATTACAATAGTAAACTTATTATAAATATAAACAATTACAAGAAATAATCACAGTGAGAAAACAATGGGCGACCTTATCGCTAAAAGCGATCTCTTCCATTTATTAATATATTATTAAACAATGAAATAAAACAAGTAAGTTATCAACAATTAGTTAATATTTCATGTAAACTATCATACACGTATTGTTTTGCCAATCATCTTTTCATAGTTAACCTTTAGTGAAACCGGAAACCGGATATGTCCGGTAAACGTGCGGTTTCGGAACCGCTGAACACGCGGTCAACGACGGCGAATTAAAACTTAGACACTGACCTGTGGACGAATTAGTACGGTCGATATGTCATTGTCCGGTAAACCACTAATTGGAGGCATCCACGTGATTGCCCTCCGGTACAGTAACCTCGGAAGGAAGAGCGGTTTGTATGAATCATTTCGAATTATTTTTCATTATTATATCAAACGTGAGCTGTCCACTGCTAAACATAGGGCTTGCCGATAAGTTTTTGTCAGTAGATGGCACGCTTGGCAGGCGGGTTAGCAAACTCAGTTAGGTTAGGGTGGAATATGGCGTGAATTTACTGGGTACAGAGGAATAACACCTGAGTCCTCAGGAATGGCAACGCATGGGGGGTATCATGGGCGAAACAGTATACTTTGTTATGTCCATGGTACTGCTCATGTCTATAGGCGACGGTTACCACTTTCCATCAGGTGGGCCATCAGCTTATTTTGCCATTCAAAGTTGAAAAAAAAAAGTTTTAATGATGTTTTAAGAGGGTCGCTTCTGTCCATCTATCGACTATTAGGATCCTTTAGTCGCCTCTTATGATACTTACGCGAAAGGAAGGGGTAGTTCATTTAATGGGAGCACACGGCGACATATTTCATTACCATTGTTATAGTAAAAAATTAAATAAAAATATATTCATGCCTTTGGGACTAAGAGGATAATTAGAGACATTTGTCAATAACGTTGTGGTGAACATTCTAATAGTAACATTCTACTTAATATTTATAACAATGATTTATAATTATTTATATTATTTTACTTTATATCTGCAGTATAATCCCTACATAAAATAGACCACTCCTTCCTTTCTCGTGGATGTCGTAAGAGACGACTAAGGAGGGCGAGGGATGGGCAGCAGCGTCCCTCTTAAAACATCACCAAAGCCTAACTGCGGTTGGCAAACTGTATGCAGTAGCAGTGGATAGTTAAAAGCTGAGATGATGATGATAATGTGATGATATCTCCTTTACATATTTACATGAAATTTACTTGCCATTATTGTAAATAATTATTTTAAAAAATACAATCAATAGTTTGATTTTTTTTGTTTTTCATTCTTTTATCTCTTTTTACTGTGTAGGTCTGTATTATATGTATGTTTGTATTGTTATTTGTTTGCTGTAAGTAATGCAAATAAATTATCTATCTACCTATATAATATTATTAATTATTTAGCAATAGAGACTGTGGTAAAGTTCCCGTTTAAGTAGAACCTCGTAAACAGTAGCACCGCAGTCGGCAATATCATATTGTTCTCAAATTCCTGTATACTCGAATGTCGAGCATAAAAAATTGGTCCACCTGTCGCGTGGACCCGGAAGGGAGGACTGCGTGGGAAACAACTGCATCTAATGTCGGGACGAGCTGGGAGCGCGCTGCGGGACGGGACGGGATGGGACGGGACGCCACCGATGCGGTAACGACCCGCATGCGTTCTCTATCATTGTAGAATACCGATAAATTGTTTTGACGTAGTCTCGAATTTGTTTATAAAATGGGAAATAAGGTTTAATTATATAGCGTATTATAGTGTATAGTATTCACATTTATTTATTCATTAGTACATATATGTGTACATGGCGGACTTAATGCTAAAAGCATTCTCTCCCAGTCAACCATAGGGAAGTGTCAGAATACTCGAATGCGGTACTAGTAATTATTGATATACGTACATACTAAAATTACATATATAAACGAATAAATATATATAAATAACAAATATACTTACACGTATATGTCATATATTATATACACAAAATTGAGAATAATATAATACATCATATATAATATATCATATTCAAATTTTAGTTGCATTTGGCATGTAGTATTTGTATGAAAAGGGTAATCAAGTTTCGTGAATCTTCATCTTGGTTGGACTTACTTTGTGAAGTAGTAAAATTACAAAAAATGACTTGATGATCATTAGTGTTTTGTACTACCTACCTTTTTTTTATACAACTTAGAATGGCAAACAAGCTGACGGCCCATCTGATGGAAAGTGGTAACCGTCGCCTATAGACATGAGCAGTACCATGGACATAACAGACTATACTGTTTCGCCCATGATACCCCCATGCGTTGCCATTCCTGAGGACTCAGGTGTTATTCCTCTGTACCCAGTAATTTCACGCCATATCCCACCGAATCCCACTGAAACACAGCCATGCAAACACAACTGCTTCACGGTTGAAACACGAATGGAACAGAGGTACCCAAGCAATCGACTTGTACAAAGTCTCCCTCTGGTAAAAATGGCTAATATAATTATAATAAATATGCTATATACCGTTAAGCCAGCCAAATGTTTTTTTTTTGTAATATGGTCAATAAAGAATAAATAAATGAAAACAAAATAAGTAACACATGAAACTAAACTGAGAAGCTCCTTTTTTTAAGGTAGTCGAGAAACAGGAAAAGCGAATCAAATAACTGCACACATTTGCTTTTGTGACCTGCCAAGTAGTTTTTATCGTCAGTTGTACAGTTACGAATGCACTTCTTTACGTTTTACAAAGTATTTTATGCATTTTATTAATTGCAGGAAGCGGAAATGTGCAGCCAATGTCTGATATGAGTCTTTCGAACACAGGTAACTAACGGGAATAGTTTTCTATTGCTATTTCCAAGATATAACGTTGTATTGCTCTAACAGATTCGAGTACAATAAAAGAGAACAATTTTAAATCATTTTTAAATATTCTTGCAAATACAGTTAAATTATAACTGTTATAAAATTGTATCGGAAAGACTGTATGTTTATACATTATATTGGGTAATTATTCGAATAAATTAGCTAGGCATAGAAAAATGTAGTAAAATCTAGACAAATTACTTTGGAAATTAATATTTATTTTTCTATTTACACATTGCTATGAGAATATGGCTGAACGGATTTCAACAAAATTTTATAATCAAGTAAAAATTAGACCAATTGATCAGTGGTAATGCATTTATAATGGGCGAAACAGTGTATTCTTTCACATGCTGATTTTTTTTCGTTCACATTGCTGATTTAGTGCTGGGAGAAACATCAGGCGATTAAGAGTCAAACAAACTCTCACTCAGGTTGTGGAATGAGCTCCCTGCCAGGGTTTTCCCAAGAGACTACAGCATGGGGTTCTTCAAAAGGGGGTAAAGAGGTTTCTTCAGGGTCGGCAACGCACGCGTAATACCTCTGGTATTGCGGGTGTTCATAGGCTACGGTAACCACTTACCATCAGGTGGGCCGTATGCTTGTTTGCCACCTCAGTGGTATAAAAAAAAAGCTCCACAACACACTGACTTGCTGTGTAGAAATGGATCACCCAAATGTTATGTCCATGGTACTGTTCATGTCCATAGGCGACGGTTACCACTTTCCATCATGTAGATTCCTTGCTAATCTAAGTTGCATAAAAAAAGTAAACTGGTGTATATTTTATAAGAAAGCACGATTCAATCGCCACAAAATTAAATGAAGATATCGTGTACAATACAGACAGAATACAGAGATATTGAAAATCTAAATAAATCTCCTTTTTTCGGAGGTTGAATTAAATTGGAAATCAATATATAAGATTGAAATGAAATTTTAACCTACCTTTGGAATGCAACATTTTCAGATGGTCAACGGTGAGCTGGAGTATCTCCGCCTTCTCCAGCTTGGCGCTGCCCTGCTTCTCGCAGGCGGCCGGCACCAGTCGCTTCAGCTCCGTCAGCGAGGTGTTGATGCGGTCGCGCCTCTTCTTCTCGATCACGCCGCGCCGTCGCTTCCGCGTCATCAGCTGGCACGAATCGCCACCTGGGGATCTGGAAAGTGGCGTATGATTGTTTACCAGTTGACCTGATATACATAGAAAGATAGTTACTCTGTATTGTTTCCTCTAAAAGTGTATATATATCATTCTGTGAAAAGCTATTACTATGGCAGTCTGTCTACCTACAGAATAATCTCTAGAGAAATCTGTGGAGAGGTCAATTCTGTACATGAAATATATTTCCAAAATAACTATCAGGGGGTGATTAGTGATCGATACTGATGCCAAAAATGCAATCAGTAAAATTTTTGCCTGTCTGTCTGTATGTTCATTATAGAAACAAAAACTACTCGACGGATTTTAACGAAACTTGGTACAATTATTCTTCATACTCCTGACCAGGTTATAGTATACTTTTCATCACGCTACGATCAATAGGAGCAGAGCAGTGAAGGGAAATGTTAAAAAATTCAAACCGTGCGACGCCGGGACGGGCCACTAGTACTGAATATAGGACTCCCTTAAGTTCAGTAGTGAACAGTTAATGATTGACATAATAATAAAAATAGAGCAATAGTCAGTTTGTTTGTCATTAAAAATATAAATGTAGCTTAACAATTAATTGTATTGAAATCACCCATATCGGTCGGATATCTATTTTTGAATATGTTAAAGGTCTGTTATCAAATATTATTTTTTGAATAACCGACTTTTATTATATTCATTGTTAGACCAGTATATAGACGTAACTCTAAAAAAAAAAAGAGCCTATAAAATCAAAGGTAGCTAAATGCCATAAAATCGAATTCATTTTCAATCTGGTTTAAAATATAGAATATCGTTCCATATCCTTAACAAAATATTAGTTTTTGTAGTTTCTTGAATATTGGATAGAGTTCCCTGCCGAGGTTTTCCCAACAGACACAGCATGGGGTTCTTCAAAAAGGGGTAAAGAGGGTTCTTCAGAGTCGGCAACGCGCGCGTAATACCTCTGGTATTGCAGGCGTTCATAGGCAACGGTAACCACTTACCATCAGGTGGGCCGTATGCTTGTTTGCCACCTCAGTGGTATAAAAAAAATAGACTTGGATTTAGCTGTCTTCGATTTTTTAGGCCTATACTACATACATATTGCTAATTATATAGCATCCCTACGTCCTAGTGCTTATTCCTATGGTAAAACATAGTATTCTACTAAATTTTCACCGACATCAATTTTATATCTGCTACAATTATTGGTATATTGGTAATGAATATTTATTATTATAACAAATATTTATTTGTCACAAATGTGTTTTAACAAAATATGCACGAAAATTATGAATTCACTCCTGCGCCACCTGCCCATTTCTATCTGTTCTCCTTTAACCAAAGGTTGTCTGTATAGTTATTTATACAGAATGCATATAAAGCTTATGTATATAACGGAGGGGGGGGGGGGGGAAGTTCAGTAAAGAATACTGTCTTAACAACAGGTTTACTTATTAAAACAATGGAAAAAATATATAAATCTATATAAAGGTTGTCTGTAAGAGATTGCCCTAGCAATAAGACCGCCTTTTGTACCTTTATGTGTATATTTCAATGTGTATTTATGTTACTGTATTTCACTTGAATTATTCACTTGCCATTGTATATTTTTATTTAGAGTTAAATAAATAAATAAATATTTATCATATTTATAATAACATAAATCGTGTTTAGAACACATATTGATATTCGTACTTCAATTGTAAAACTGCACTTAAAACATGGTTATTGAGTCTGACGTACGATGACACGGAAAACTTACTGAAAGTTACGTATTAAATTTATTTATTTACATTACAACTATGGAAATATTATTAAAATAATTTACGTTGTGTAAGTGTGTGTAGGATATATCGGTTGTATAACCTTAACTATATATATATATATATATATATATATATATATATATATATATATATATATATATATATATATATATATATATATATATATATATATATATATATATATATATATATATATATATATATTAATGTTATTATTATATTTATAACCAGAACAAATTGTAAAATAGTGCCAACACCGTGGGGTGAGGACCTGGTGATCTGTGACACAGGTCTATCCTATTTCAGACACCAGCGGGTCTACCATGAAATGTAATTCCGAAATTTCGGACTCAATTTCGTGTTTTTATTTATACCAAAATGGGACCAATAAATGGAGTTTCACATTTCGTTCGTCATACATCCTTATAATAAAAGTCCAAAGGAACAATATTTTAACATTTTTAATATTTCCAAACGGCATGTATTATGTAATTTTAACATCAAATGTCTGTTTCGTTTGGCTCCGAAATTTCGGAAAACATTTCTTGGTAGGCCCTCAGTTCTTTACAATATTATTACAATATAATTACATTAACTTATGTTACCTTCAAAAATAAATATATTAGAATATAATAGATGTACAACTAGTATTGTGAAGAGAATAAACTTTATTATTATCATTAATCAGTAAAAACAGAATTACTATTTGTGATTAGAATGACGCGTGTCATTCCGTAGCACGCGCTACACGCGTACAACCTTTGACGCTACGACGTAACCACAACTACGACAACGTGACAAATCACTCAATTTGGTTAATTAATGTATGATTCGTAGTTTGCTATTGCTAGCAGGTATTTTGTATATTAATTCCAATGAGAATCTTGTTAGAATCCTTGTATTGTGGGAATTATTCGATAGAGTAGATATGGAGTTAATTGTTGTTCATGTTAAACATTTTTTTTATTTCTTTTTTTAATATACGAATATTTTACAAACAGGCGTGTTTAAAATTATAGATATTATATTTTTAAAGTAATAATTAAAATATTAATATCTTTTTAATAGTATTGTAAAAAAAATACTAAGGTACAATAGGATATATTTTATTTTCTTGTATTATGTAAATTAAGCAAGTACTCAGTTATTTAACCGATGTTAATTAAAATTTATCATAAAAAAGAACTCTTAAATATGTTAAAAGCATTAAACTTAAATATTTATTTATAATTTTGAAATATTTGATTTCAATATTTGGGTCCAGTCTCCCACAAGTTTTACAGACCATTTAAATTATACATACATATATAGTTGTATTTTTTTTTTCATTTAACTTTCTGTAAGATTTGTGGAGAAAATAAATAAATAAAATAAAAAAAAAATTGATTTATTTATTACTAATTGCTACAAAAAATATTGTAATATAAAAAACACGTGTACCAATAATAAACATAGCTATATACTCACTGCGCATCTTTGCTGCTCTCTTCTGAAAACGCATCGTCTTCGCTCTCCGAGTGGGTTCTTTTACTGCGTTGCGCAGGAGCTGGCGGCGCAGGCGCCGGCGCCGGCGGCCCCCACCCGTACCCCCACTGGGGCTGCCCCTGATGAGGCTGCAGCGAGGAACTGGACTGCTCCATATGACGGTGATGGTATTCCATAGTCACTTTTTTCAAATACACAAAAAAATCTATCACTTATTACGGTCACTAATATTTAATTACCGTCACTAGCCGTGTTTGTTATTGTCACTCTATCACTTAAGGTGCATAATAAGGCACGTCTTATCAATGTCTTGGCCACACTTCGTCGGTATCTGGAGGCGACACGTGCATGCGCGTGGACCGACGCCACTGGAGTGTGCTGCCGCGTGCGATCCGTGTGCCGCCACCCTTAGCGCTCGCCCTGTGGATACCATACTTTATTTTTACAAATTCAACATACAACCATCAATGCCATTGTGACCTTTATTCCTTTGTAATAACGCTCTTTTGTTATGCCATTTGAAAGTTGCAAAACTTTTTTTAGACAAATTTCGATTCGTAATTCAAATAAGCGAATGTGGACTGTATTTTGATAGTGCTTGGAGTTATTAAACTGAAATTGGGGGGTCAAACGCCACATTAACTATTATGAATGTTTGTTATTATGTCGCTTAAAGGATTTTATAGTTTAAATGTGAAATAATAGAGTTGAATATAGTTCGTATCGCTTCACACTGGGTGGTACACAGCGCCGCGTGTCAGGCGCACGGTGGGAAAATGAGTAACAATTAGGAAATGCAATTTTATTCGCCGGAGTGTATGTGTGAATGTTATCTGGGAGAAGGGGTGGGCTGAGAAGCGTGGGATCATTTGTAGGTATATATGGATTTACTGACTCACTGACTTAGTACCTAACGCTTTATTCATATTTACAGCGCCCCCTCTGTACTGTTTGAAGTATTTTTTTCGAGTGAATCAAGCTTAATTGAACAAAGATTAAAAAAGTTAATGAAACAAGATAAATTAAAGTTATATTTTTCGTTTGTATTTTAATTGTTATGTTGGCATATAAATGTATTTATAAAATTAAATATATCAAAAGGAGTATTAATGTTTTTATTATAGGTGCATACATACAAAAATTTTGTACATACACTCAGGTACATACATACAAAAAAACTAATAAATAAGAGAAATATAGTGATATAAAATAAATTACTACTTATATTTTAATAAGTTTTCTTTTATTTATTTTTTTATTAAGCCTTTCTTTCAATCAATCAATCATCTTTATTCATATACATCTGTTACAGATACTTATGATACGTCAATCTATAATTATAATAATTACTATAGAAAATAATATTGATTTAAGAAAAAATGCAATAATTACATTTACAATACAATTCACATTAATACAAAATTCAAATCCATGCAGTTTTGTCATTTAAATAGTCATTTAATTTATAATATGCTTTTGTACAGAGAGTCCTTTTTATATATGTCTTAAATTTTCTTTCATTTAATTGTAAAACGTCATCTGGAAGTTTATTATAAAAACGTATACAGTTCCCCATGAAAGATGTACTGACTTTTCTAAGGCGATAACAAGGAACATTCAATTTGTTTTTATTTCTTGTATTGAAATTATGTATGTCACTGTTATTTTTAAAAAGATTTATATTTTTACGTACATACATAATGTTTTCGTATATATATTGCGAGGGAACAGTAAGTATACCTGTTTGCTTAAAATATTCCCTAAGAGATTCCCGAGAAGGCAAATTAAATATTGACCGAACTGCTCTTTTTTGCAGTACAAAGATTGTATCGATGTCAGCAGCCCTCCCCCATAATATAATGCCATATGACATGATACTGTGAAAGTAACTAAAATATACACGCTTAGCTGTTATTGTATCAGTTAATTGTCGGATTTTTCTAACAGCATAAGCAGCTGAACTCAGCCTGTTGGCTAATTCAAATATATGGGAGCCCCATTGCAACTTATAATCAACTACTATGCCAAGAAAAGTGGTTCTATCTACAAAGTCTAAATCCTGGTGGTCTAATCTAATAGCGGTATTCACTTGCTTAGTATTGGATATGGAAAATCTGATACATTTAGTTTTTTTTGAATTAAGTACTAGATTATTTGACGTAAACCATATCAAAACCTTAGACAAAGCAACATTTACATGGTCAAGGTTATGTGTATTTCTATTCACTTTAAACATTAGTGAAGTGTCATCAGCAAATAATACAATATCAGACAAATCTTGAACATGATACGGTAAGTCATTCATGTATACAAGAAAAAGAAAAGGACCCAAAATAGATCCCTGAGGCACACCCATTTCAATATAAGATCCACTAGAATTGACACCGTTTACTTCTACTATTTGAATTCTTGAATTTAAGTAAGATTTTAAGAGATCTAAAGACTTATTTCTAACTCCATAATGTTCAAGCTTCATTAATAAAGTTTTATGATCGACGCAATCGAATGCCTTAGAAAGATCACAAAATACACCAATTACATCTTGTGAATTCTCCCATGCACTGAAAATGCATTGCATTAAATTAATGCCGGCATCAACAGTGCATCGTCCTTTTGTAAATCCATATTGTTGCTTGTGGAGTAAGTCACGTAAATTAAAATGGTCTAACATTTGTAGAAGAATTAATTTTTCGAAAATCTTACTAAATACTGGTAGAATTGAGATTGGCCTAAAGTTAGTAAGGTTTTCCTTATCACCAGACTTAAATAACGGCATTATTTTACTAACTTTCATTAGATCTGGAAACACTCCTTGATCAATACTCTTGTTAAATATTATAGCCAGATGAGGAGCAATTTCATTTATTACAGATTTCATTACCTTTACTGACATACCCCAAATATCTTCCGTATTTTTCAGATTGAGAGAGTTAAAGGCTTTTATTATACAAGAAGAATTTATGTAATGAAACCTAAAATCATAGATACAGGAACTCACAGTGTTTTTTAATAATTGTTTAGCTAAATCAGGTGACGAATTTAATGATTTTGTTGCTTTTAAAGGTATTGTTGAGAAAAAATTTTCGAAAACTTGAGCAACTTGATCATTTTTATCAACGATACCATTTTCAGTTTTCAGCCTATATTTTAACTGAGGAGACTTTTTGTTACCTATTTCCGTGTTTATTATGTTCCACGTAGTCTTTATTTTGTCTTTAGATGTTGTAATTTTACGTTTTAAGTGAAGGATCTTAGCAGCGTTACACACTCTTTTAAATATTTTTGAGTAATTTTTCACATATTCAACAAAAATAGGTTCTTGCAAATAGCTCTTGATATCATACAGTTGATACATATTCTCTCTACTTTTTCTAATACCAAACGTAGACCATTCACTAAATTTTGAATTCTTAATCTTTGACTTCTTAATTGGAAAATTATTATCAAAATGAGATTTTACTATATTGAAAAATCGGTCATATAATGTACTAGGATTTATATTATTATCATCATACTTTAAAAAAGGTAGGCTTTCCTTTAATCTATCTCTGAATTTCTGCAATTTATATGCTGTTGTTGGTCTATAGAGTTTATAGGTATCTTCCGTAATTTCATTACATGTAAATGTCACACTTTGTCCGCAATGGTCCGAAGGTAAAGTATTTATGATAGATTTATTTAAAATATTAAAATTACAATATATATTGTCAATACATGTTGCTGTATTACATGTAATTCGCGTCGGTTCTAAGAAGACATGAACTAGACCAAAACTTTTAAACAAACTATTGATTTTTGTCTTCATAGGACTATCAATTAGAAGGTCCACGTTAAAGTCCCCGCATACTAATATAGATTTATTACTTTTAAATGCTAATTTCAGTACATCCTCCATGATGGACTCAAATTTGACGTAGTCTGAGTTTGGGGGTCTATATACACATATAATTATATATTTATCCAACTCTGTACATGAGATTTCAACAACACATTCCTTAGAAAGTGCTACTATATCTTTACGCTCTTTAACTTTAATATTTTTATTTACAAAAATAATAGACCCTCCTCTTATAGAGTTTTGTCTGTTGAATACACTCTGGATTTTATAATTCGGTATGTGAATTGACATGTTTGTCATTTTTAGCCAATGTTCAGTGAGGCATAGAATGTCAATATTAAATTCATTTAAAAATAATTCTATTAGTAATTCTTTGCCAAGAAAGCCTTGAATATTTTGATGAACTAGTTTAAGATGTTTTGGCTTTCTCTTTGTCAGTAAACTAAGTTTAAATAATCATTAGTATAATTACTAAATCCTATACAATTTTTATGTTTAACTGTTATACTATTTATAACAGGACTATGTAAAATATTATAAGCTAACAATGTAGCTAACTGTCGTTTGTAAAATTGTGAGAGGTACAATGTACCTTCAGTCAATTTAAAATTATTTACAAATTTATTTGTATCAAAACAATGAATATTTTCAACAAAACAGCTCATGTTATACATTAAAGTATTAAGTCTATAAATTTGTTGGTTCTGATTTCGAGACAATGAAACCGAATAAGGAAAAGTACATATAATAAATTTTTTTATAGTCATATTTGAGACAGATTTAAGAAGATATCTCAAGTCCTTCTGAGAAATACCTATACTATTTCCTATCAAAAATACAATAGTAGTGTGTTTATTGTAATTGTTTTGATTACATAACATTTGTTTTACAATATAATTAAATGGGGCATCGGGTATACAATTATTTACGATTTGTTCTGACATACAATTATTCATAATTAATCCTAAGTTAATTCCTATTCTATCTGAGTACTATACAGTATTACTATTATGTATCTGTCGTCGGGTAAAGTCGTCAGATGATAAATTTGACTGTGTGTGAGTAGCAATTGGTACCATAGGTAAAGAAAGACTATTGGGTTTTGTGGTGCTGCTTGGTTCTTCTTCCACCACTTGTTCCAATATACCACTTGGTTCTCTTGAATTGATTTCAATCAATTCCTTGACCACCACATTATGTTTGTATATTTGAATTTGGGCACTTGTGTATTTGTCACTAATAGACTGCAATGAAGATTCCAACTCCTTTATATGCAGCAATAATTTAGTAGTGTTTGTATCAAACTGTAATTTGTTACTCCAGAATTGATTTTCATAATATTTCAAGTAGTTATCGAATTTTTCCTCAGTTTCTATATCTGTTTTTAAAACACAGTTTTTATATTTTGTCAAATATTTATTACATTTCTTAATTTGTTTACTTATTTTCATATATTTTCTACTTTTTTTTTCTCTGTTAATAAGATATTTCGGTTTTTTCTTCGAAAATATAGATTTTCTAGTCTTGGAAGTATTTTTGCTGCTGTAAAGTGGGTTATCGCATAAGCTGTGGTCCATTAATTCGGCATATAACGTCATAGTTTTTTCAGCTTCTTGGTCACACATTCTACTATTTAATGTATTTATTTCATTATAAGCTTCGGCAAGTTGGCATTCCAACTCA